AGACTATGCTCCCTGGTGTTGAGTAGCGCCGAAGATGAGAAAAATCAAAAATAAGACCTCTCGACTATGTGCTAATTTTATTAATTTTATGTAAAAGCTCACAGTAGACGAGATTAGATAAATAAAAAAAGAAAAGAATGAAAAAAGTCGCTTAATAACCAACCAAGTAAAGATGGTAATTCCTTGCGCGCGAGACCAGTGGTCGCGACGCTTAAGGCCAGGAAGTTGTTTCGTTTCATGGGCCAATTACAGGACGCGCAAACGCAGAATCCGATGTTCCTTGCCAGTATATTTTGAACATAATTACAGGCGGAAACATCAGGGACAGATCATCATTAAGACAAATTGCGTGACACTGGCAGGTAGTAGGCACTTGAATCCACTCACGATGACTGGCCTTCTCCGTTCACGGTCCGAGATCTATGCAACACAGGCATATGTCTGCTTTCATTTATTATGCAAGGGAAACAGACTAACAGTATCTCGTCCAGGTGTTTGTGTCGTTTGTGGGGCTGATTTTTTATGACAGGTTACTTCTTTATAGTATATTTAACGACGTTTAAGTAGCTTAGGTAGCGTCGAATCAGAGGATGACAGTGGCTAAAGAAATTGAAAATACGTGGAAGGAAGCGGCGTCTTTGGACACCAAGTCACGAGAGGCAAAGGCAAATTCATCCTTGTAACTTGAGGGAGCGCGACAATTCTGGCCATCTCGGAGGATTCCCCCTCCGCACGTAATAATGGAAGCCAAGGAAAATGTGTCGAAAGACGTGTACAGACAAACTCAAGAAAGTACTTTCCCTGTTGCCGTTAAAGTTGCCCGATCGAAGCGTAAATTGAAATGTGTCTACAATTTTTAGTTAAAGTCTCAAGTATATTTTAATAGGCGCTAGGCTTGGCTGCGAAAGCGCCTAAGACGAAGTTCTATCTATAATAACATGTGCCATTCTTGCACTAATAAAATCATGAGTAACCAAAGAGTGCAAAATGGCGCACGAGAGAAGAGAAGAGAAGAGAAGAAACCTTACTTCCTGTTTGTTTTGAGACACGTCTCTCTCTCTCTCTCTCTCTCTCTTTATATATATATATATATATATATATATATATCCCTTTTTCTGATATCCAATCACTAACAATTGAAGCCTGTCGGAGCAGCTCAAAGACACAAGAATCCTATTTCTAGCATTGCAAGATGGTTCGGGAACGCGGTTCAACTTTAGTTTTCCAGCTTATCATCTGACACTGACGGAAGTCAACTCAAATAGTTCTAATTCAGTGATGGATCCCCGTAAGTCAGCGTTACTCACACCGTGGAAGGCGAACACGTGAGGCTGGTGGGGAGTTAATGTGCAAATGGAGAGAAATGTATGAGATATAACACAGAACTATTTGATTACCGGGTTATTTAAACGACGATGTTGAGTTATACCAAATTATTAGTAGAAATTTTAATACTAAATTAAATTTAAATTTATTTTTTAATTTCAAAAGCACACGGTGTTCAATTCCTGTATTCATTAATTGAATTGGAATATAATAACAAGAATCTAAACCTACTTCTACTATAAATCGTTAAAGGCTGGATATTTTACCACCAGAAGTGCAATGTACTTAGGTAGGTCTATGTATTAACAGCGTCTAAGTACTACAGAAAATGCTATTAAAAACGGTATAACCTTTTCATAACAAAGTTGTCGATTTGCATGTTTCCAGTGGCTTAATGTTTATTGCTGGTGGTGACTCCTGTCTTCCATTCTTTGTGATTTTAATGACCGCCTACTCTGAGAGAAGAGCAAAGGGAACGCGTCACTGCATCAGTAGCATATGTACCATTCATTAAGATGATCATATCTGACTAAAAATTATCAAACCCTTCCATCATCTCATCAGCTTTCGAAAGTACTACACATTCAGAGAGGCTGTTTACATAATTCTGGCCGAGAAGCACACGCGTTCCTGCGAGTAGGCAACACATATTACAATGAATTGAAAACAAAAACTGCTCTGAGAAGAGTCGTTCTTGAGAAGCTGACAGTTACTCACCTGGTAAAGAATTCTCCGCTTTTTAAACCAAGAGATATCTTAGAGAAATACGAGTAGTCTTGGTGAATGAAAATGATTCAGAATCGTGTCCGACAGCTATCGCCTGTATCAGAGGTATCTTAAAAGTTATAGCGGCAGAGAGATTTGAGTATGAAACAAGTTATCCAGAAAACCTTGTAACAGAATGGTATAGTGGTTTATGCCACTGTAGCACGTAACTTAGATTTAAAGATACTGGGAAAGAAGGGGGGGCACATATTATAATCGCATGGAGGGGGCCAAGCCATGGTCACAGAGTATAAAACTAAGAGTGAAGCCACACACCGCTGCTTTTTGCAACAAACAATTACGAAAATGGACGACGCTTCTTGAAGAAACCACTGTTCGGGGAAAAAGATCTCAGTTTCTACATTTTCTGCGGTGAAAAACAGTTTGTTGCACGCAGCTCAGACGACGCGAAGTTCGGTTTTTAATCCGAAGAGAGAAGCTGTTTTGGGGGGGAAACGATGGGAGAGTTAACAGTAAGTAAACCGAGTGTGAAATTAAGTAACAAGAAAGTATCACAAATAGTTTCCCTCCTTCTTGACTTTGCTTTGTTTCTCCGTTCTCTTGTCATTATTTAGACGTGCACAATTGCCCCTTCTCTGTTTCCTCCTTCGCTCTACTTCTGAATGCTATTCATGCGTGTTCTTTGTCTAAACTTCACGAATGTTTCACTTCAAGTCTCATCTTTCAAGTGCTGGAAAAATTAAAATTAAATATTTTAACTAAATTTTTCATCCTTCATAAGGAAAAAGAAAGTATTTGTTCACAATCCCTTATAATTCTTACCTCCTGATTAAATTCGGAGTTTACTTTAATTTCTTAACAAAATAATTAACATAAACTTGGATACATTTAAACTTTTGTGTCTGAAGACATTTGCAAATGAGGGATATGTTTGTTATGCTCTAGTTTATGTATGAATGCACGTGTTCAAGTAAACGATTATGTTGATCTTCATCCTACATAATTTTGGTCTGACAAGTCGTTTCTACAAAAATTAATCAAGTGTGTGCAAATAATCTACGAAATAAGCCGCTCTCTGTGAGACTCAGTGGCACGGTAGTGGGCTCATATGAACACGTAAATATACCTTCGGCATATATAAAAGGTGGGTCATTTCTTGACTAGCTGAGTGACTATCAGCTTCGCAAAAAGGACTCTGCTCAATGAACTTACTTTAACTAGTTACTAAGAATCTAAAATCACATACTTATTTCTTTGTAGAATGTATGCAGTTTTTCAAAATTTCTGAAGATAAGATGACTTATCGCGTTCGGCTACAAATATTCGAATATTTAACTTCCAATTCAAAAAAAGTATTAGAGATTCATATTCGTTTGGCGACTCAATTTTGGTTGTCATTTATATGGAGACCAGCCTCACCCTTTTGCGAGAATTAACTATTTTTGACGAATGATCCATTATCAGGGACGTATAAAATTGGGAATGAAATTTTCTGTTTCTGTATATCGACCATTAGCTGTTAAAATGTTGTTTCCAAAAAAACGTAATCAAGAAATTAAAACCTGAATATGATTTGACTTTAACATACTTAGAACGAACGTTCAGAGAACCAATTTCACAACTTTCCTTATTAAGTTCAAAATGTTACATCCTGCCTACTTTTCAAATTATTTTATAATTTGATTTCAGTTCCTGTCCTTTATTGGCCATTACATAATTACGATACTACATGGTCCATGTAGTAATATTAGCAGAAAATCTATCTCAACTTCTATAATGGATTCCCGTTGCTAGGTAACTCTGGCCTGATTTTGGAACATAAAAGCACCAAAACATGATAAACAAGTTTCTACCAAACCCTTTAATTAGTCCATCCACTCAGGTATAATATATTCACAGAAAAATTCCCTGAATAATTTTATACTTTTCTGAATAATCATCCCACGCCATAAGTAACTTTATCACGAAAAGCTTTTATAAACAAAATTTATCTTCATATTTAGGAGAATAAATTATTAATTATGAAAAGAAGATTCTTTATCCTTAATTAAATACACTCTTCTTACGAATATTAAGAAGAAGATTATGATTACTCTGAACGAAGACGAAATTATCGAGAGTCCTACATGAATCTCGACCAGAAGATCTCGATTTAATCTCATTGTTTCATTATAACTCACTGAAGGAAAATCTAATACACTTATCAACAGTTTAAGTCAAGATCTTTATTGAGGATCTCACACTTATTCAATTGGTGAAGACATTATCTTACTTCACAGAACACAAAAATCCATCACCTTTTACACAAGAGCTGGATCCTAGGTCCTGTTCCAAGCTAATTCAGCAAAACCCACGCATTTATACCCTATTCAATGAGGATGTACACTAAACTTACAGTACAGTCTGTAACTTTGCCAACTGAACTATTCCAGCTTATCTGGGCTGAATATTAGAGTTCATATGCAGAGTTATAGAATTCAACAGACAAAGACTATGGCGTAATGTTCAGTCATAACATGGCATATAAACTTACTTCATTCTTCTACATCTGTGTGGGTTAAAAGACATGACGTCACAGTCAAGTCCTACGAGATATGATAATAAGTAATTGCCCTGCTGTCATAAAGGTTTACAACCTTGCAGAACAGAAATTACCTTATTTCGTGTTCACAAAGACCTGAAACGCTGTCAGCCTGTAATAACCATCCTGTCACCCCATTCTCAGGAAAACCACAAAATCACACGGCGCACTGGAATCACTTTCCGACCTTTAACAGTTGGTATGAAATAGCTGTCTGTTTTACGTAATATTAATACTGTTCTTTGTGATTGTACACACACGTAAAATATTCCTTTCTAAGCACATTCGAACTTTGTTGTGTTTCTTGCACGACATGAAAACGTGAAAGCATGATATGGAGATTAAAACATGTTATCTGTCCGCATTTATTATAATTTCCGCACCTTATCGGACGACGTAACTTCTGAGGTCATGAAACTTTAGAATCATTAATTTAAAACCTGGTGGATGAAACAACCGAATTTAGCAAAATTCCAACTACGCTTCGTTTCCACAAATATAAAATTCCTGTAATGTCTGTATAAATCATATGTGATGTGAGGTTCTCACAGCGGGAAGGTATCGATCGTGGACTTCTGGGTTGTGACGCCGTGAAGTCAGTGGAACGTATCGCTTCCATATTCAGGGTTCAACCAAGCTTCAACCACTGCACGGCATCACAAACCGAAAGACCACGATCGATACCTGATTTATTAATAGGTTTTCAGGGGGAGACACTATACCGATTCTTAGACGCCATCAAATGTAAGATGCGCCCCAATTTAAAAAAAATTCCGTCTTAAAATCTAGGAAATGAGGTTTTAATTTACAGTTGTTTTTTCATCTAATCTCACCATATACACTGAAGCATTTGAAGGAAATTGTGTATCGTAAGTCGCTCTCAGGCGGAAAACCATTAAAACTCAGCTGGCGAAATGCCGGGCTACTGAACGTTAAATCAGGCAGTATAAATAGTTATCACTGCACTGTTAAGGGTTAAACATGAATTCTCATGGCCTACTTTAAGGTGAAATTTACTTTCAAGAACGAAATTGACCTCCATTTCCTTCCTTACTACTTACACGGGAGTTCCTTCAAGGAAATAAATTTACGGTCGACATTTATGTCTTTAAGTAGATAAATCACAACCTTAAGTGTTTTTCATGTCTCCTCGCCCTTTCCTGCATCAGGTTTCTATTAAAAATTTAAGCGATAGTCGAAGTAAGTGCTATTGAGTTCAAATGCATTATAACTAGCAGGCTACTAGACAGTCATACACCCTGTTCCCAAAGTTGGATAAACTGTAAATGAATCTGTTATAGTACGCCCAGCGTCAAGATTAGTCAAAACAAATTTCCTTACTGAAATAATCCTACGACGTATAGCGCAGTATTTGGGCTCTGTAAGGGCAATGTTATTTCCGTGCCGATGTACATCATCGTGAATTTGAATAGAGGCAGGGACAGAGAGCAAAACTAATAATTTGTGTTTTACTGTTCGACAGCGGTCATCTTTATCCAACTGGTTCGTCACATTGGGCACAGTGCTGTTCCTGGCAGCGGACACAGGAGGCGCGTTGTACAGGCCAGCGCGTGACGATAGCTACTACTATAATCGTTACGGATCGACGTTCACAGGGGCAGGGCAGTCCGACCAAAGGGGCGCAGGTTCGTCACGCTGGGACCAGAGACCCAGCGGTGGGAGTTGGAGTCAGTCCGGGGCGGCAGTTGGCCCTTCCACCAGCTGGGACAGATGTCCCCGGTGTCCCAGTTCAGGGGGTAGCAGCAGTGCTTGGGATAGGGGCAATGGGTATGATAACCTGGGGTACGGGTTGCCACCAGGAACCACGTTGGACAAGGGTGGTGGGGGTAAGGGAGGGTCTTCAGGATGGGACAACAGAGGATGGGATAACAGAGGTTCTTCCGGTGGCTGGGATAAAGCTGGGGGTTCTGTGGCAAAATGGGATAATCGCGGAGGTTCTTCCGGAAGTTGGGATAACCGAGGAGGTTCTCCAGGGGGGTGGGATAATCGTGGAAGTTCTTCTGGTAGTTGGGATAACCGAGGAGGTTCTCCAGGAGGTTGGGATAACAGAGGAGGTTCTCCAGGGGGGTGGGATAATCGTGGAAGTTCTTCTGGTAGTTGGGATAACCGAGGAGGTTCTCCAGGAGGTTGGGATAACAGAGGAGGTTCTCCAGGGGGGTGGGATAATCGTGGAAGTTCTTCTGGTAGTTGGGATAACCGAGGAGGTTCTCCAGGAGGTTGGGATAACAGAGGAGGTTCTCCAGGGGGGTGGGATAATCGTGGAAGTTCTTCTGGTAGTTGGGATAACCGAGGAGGTTCTCCAGGAGGTTGGGATAACAGAGGAGGTTCTCCAGGGGGGTGGGATAATCGTGGAAGTTCTTCTGGTAGTTGGGATAACCGAGGAGGTTCTCCAGGAGGTTGGGATAACAGAGGAGGTTCTCCAGGGGGGTGGGATAATCGTGGAAGTTCTTCTGGTAGTTGGGATAACCGAGGAGGTTCTCCAGGAGGTTGGGATAACAGAGGAGGTTCTCCAGGGGGGTGGGATAATCGTGGAAGTTCTTCTGGTAGTTGGGATAACCGAGGAGGTTCTCCAGGAGGTTGGGATAACAGAGGAGGTTCTCCAGGGGGGTGGGATAATCGTGGAAGTTCTTCTGGTAGTTGGGATAACCGAGGAGGTTCTCCAGGAGGTTGGGATAACAGAGGAGGTTCTCCAGGGGGGTGGGATAATCGTGGAAGTTCTTCTGGTAGTTGGGATAACCGAGGAGGTTCTCCAGGAGGTTGGGATAACAGAGGAGGTTCTCCAGGGGGGTGGGATAATCGTGGAAGTTCTTCTGGTAGTTGGGATAACCGAGGAGGTTCTCCAGGAGGTTGGGATAACAGAGGAGGTTCTCCAGGGGGGTGGGATAATCGTGGAAGTTCTTCTGGTAGTTGGGATAACCGAGGAGGTTCTCCAGGAGGTTGGGATAACAGAGGAGGTTCTCCAGGGGGGTGGGATAATCGTGGAAGTTCTTCTGGTAGTTGGGATAACCGAGGAGGTTCTCCAGGAGGTTGGGATAACAGAGGAGGTTCTCCAGGGGGGTGGGATAATCGTGGAAGTTCTTCTGGTAGTTGGGATAACCGAGGAGGTTCTCCAGGAGGTTGGGATAACAGAGGAGGTTCTCCAGGGGGGTGGGATAATCGTGGAAGTTCTTCTGGTAGTTGGGATAACCGAGGAGGTTCTCCAGGAGGTTGGGATAACAGAGGAGGTTCTCCAGGGGGGTGGGATAATCGTGGAAGTTCTTCTGGTAGTTGGGATAACCGAGGAGGTTCTCCAGGAGGTTGGGATAACAGAGGAGGTTCTCCAGGGGGGTGGGATAATCGTGGAAGTTCTTCTGGTAGTTGGGATAACCGAGGAGGTTCTCCAGGAGGTTGGGATAACAGAGGAGGTTCTCCAGGGGGGTGGGATAATCGTGGAAGTTCTTCTGGTAGTTGGGATAACCGAGGAGGTCCTTCTGGGAGTTGGGATAACCGAGGGGGGTCTTCTAGGAGTTGGGATAACCGAGGGGGTTCTTCTGGAAGTTTTGATAGTCGAGGGGGCTCCCCTGGAGGCTGGCAGGACAGAGGAGGAGCCTGGAGTAGTCGAGGAGGTTCTTCCGGTGGTTGGGATAATAGAGGAGGTTCTGGCAGTTGGGACAATCGTGGAGGTTCTGGTTGGGGAGGCGCTGGAGGTGGCAGGTGGGATGAAAGGGGATCCACTGCAGGAGGAAGATGGTCGTCCGGTGGGGGTGGGTCCAGATGGGAAGACAGAGGATCAGACTGGGGTCCTGCCGGCTATAGAGGTTCGCGATGGGAGTCCGGTGGTGGCGGGGGATTGTCGGATGGCTCAAACAGGGGCTGGGATAGCAGTGGCAGAAGAGGGGCGCAGGACAGCTGGGGTTATGATAAGGGCTACGCATCAGGATGGGACTACGGCGGAAGAGACGGAGGAGGGTATAGGGGTGGTGGGGGTGGCGGAGACTGGGGGAGGGATTCTTCTTCTTCGGGCGCAGGAAGCTGGAGGGATCGAGGGTGAGTTGCAGTTCCTAGCTTTTCTCTGATACTTAGGAACCAAGGTGATTTAGAAAATTAGTATCAATAATTAAAAATAGCTTACTTTTCTATTAATTCCAGTTGCAATTTTTTTTTGTTTCTGGCTGTAATTGGACATACATTTTCGCGAATTTGTTCTGAGAATTACTCACTCTATGTGCAAAATGTACCGTCAGTACTCACATCCCCAGGAAGACCCTCAAGTCCTAAGAGTACCCCCCCCCCCCCCCCACA